AGATTAGACATAAAGCTTCTGCAGGCAAAAGTTCTCTGTGCAGAGGCTTTAGTTAGAATTAATTTTTTTGTGACTGCATGCTTTGATTTACTCCAAAAGTTGAACATTTCGCTGAATTCCAACTTATTTACAACCTGAAATGTCAATGTTTAAATTATGAGCCCTGTTTTTTTGGCACAAAAGCTTTGACTAAACTCCCTGCCTCTGCTGCTGAAAAGCTACTTCAATGCTTCCTTCCATCACAACTGCATTTTACAAGAAACGGGGCTTTGGACTCATTCCCGAAAAGTTCAGATTTTGTTTCATCAGATCAGAAAATCATTTTCCTCAGGCTCCCAGAGACCTTCAAACAGGTTTTGGCAAACGCCAAGCCAGCTGTCATTTGTCTTTTACTCTGTGATTTCCATCAAGCTGCCACCATGAAAGGTTGACTGATGGTTCCTGCAGTGATGGTTGTCCTAAGTTCTTCACTGATTACTTTTAAAGGTCTGTTAGAAAGACTTTAAGGACGCTAAGCAGCTCCGTGTCCAAAAGGAGGGAAACACAAATGCCAGTTTTGAAGATTTAAAGTCAGATTTCTGATACAACACCGAGAAGACTAAAGGCTTGGTTGTGATTAAGTTGTGCACGGTGCAAGGCAATAATTCACAATTAGGTTTCCTGGTATATTAACATGATTGTTCACAGATGTTTCTCCCAGTAGGGATGCATTACTGTGACACTTTGACTGTCAGCAGGTATGATGACAGAGAATTATTATAGGTTCTGTCTGCGCAATCGACGAACAGAAGGGTTCAATATGTACTGTGAGAGGAAAGGATTCCGCCACGATCAGAACAGCCAGATGGGCTCGGAAAACAACTGTCGCTCAGCGTAATTCCGGATCGCATCCAAAAAAACGTAACCTGAAACGAGATTGCACAAAKAGAAAAAAACAATTCCATGGAGATCTATAAGCACAAAACAAAACAGCSGACATGTGTTCTGTTGTCAGATGAGTTCATTTTTCAGCTTGTTTTCGGAAAAAATAAAAACATCTGGTTGAATGTTTGAGCCAAATATGAGAAAGACCATCAGGAAAAGGTGCACWGGCCAATTGCTTTGATGCATTTGATGATAGAGGAGTCAATGGCCAGTTTTTAATTGGGTACTTTGAAATCTTAGAGAAACAAATTCTTTCTCCAYAGTTTTTTTTTCAGCAGGAAAATCCCAGACGTCATTCTGCACAACGTCTCAGATGTGTACCTGCTGTACAGATCTGTCTCTGGTAAAATAAACAAAATGCTGCACTGCAAGGAAGAGAATCAGACAGGKGTAGCAACAATCTGTTCAGTTAATACTWTTTTGTATTTCACAAAAATACAAAACTTTGTATTGCTGGCTTGTAAAAGATCAAAAGTGTAAATATAAAGGTAATGGTAAACAACAATTTATGGTAAATGGACTGAACTTACAGTATAAAGCRCTTTATTAAGTCCCTCCGGACCCCAAAGCGATATACACTTACAGTCACTCACCCATTCACACAAGGCAAATAAAGTTAAGATATGATGCAATTTCTTTGCACACACATTCACACACTGATGATGGTAAGCTACACTGTAGCCACAGCTGCCCTGGGGTGCACTGACAGGGGCAGGGCTGCCGTGCACCGGYGCCACCGGACCCTCTGACCACCACCAGWAGGCAAGCGGGTGAAGTGTCTTGCCCAAGGACAGAACAACTGAGACAGCTGGAACGAAGGATGGAACCAGTGACCTTCCAGTTCCAGGACGACTCCCCTAACCACTCCACCACAGCCGCCCCACGTCCTTTATTACCATACATCTTTTATTGAGGCATATTTTGACAAAACTTTCAAGAAATTGCATCATATTTCAACCTTATTTGCTATTTTTGTTCAAAAACTCCATGTTAAGTTTACAGGTCAGGCTGTTGACATTTATTTTACTTTATGTAAATCGAAATTTCTGGGTTGTGGCAAACATGCTTCTTTTGCAACTTTTTTGAGGGGTACCGAAAATTGCAAATTTGTTCATATTTTATGACTTTAAAATAGTTGATAATTCAAAACATAAGTTTTTTTTTATTTTTTTATGAATGTCAGAAAAAGTCAAATAAAATGAACATGATGCAGATTTAAGCTGTGGATGCATTTTGGAGAATAATTTTTCTGAAAATTGAGTTTGTATTATAAAAACTCAAACATGATCAGATTGAATAAAACTGATAACTACAAAACACATAATGACTCAAACATATTAACAATTAAATATGGGATAAACAAGCACACAACTGATTTATTTATTAACATTTTACCATCCAGATCAGACGTCAACAACATTTTCATTTTAACCTTCATTTTACTTTCTCTTCCTCTTTCGTTTTCTTTCATTTATCCATGTATTCTGCTACCCCAGGAGCCACTGATATCATGTCATATCTTCATTTCTTACTTGTTTCCAAGCAGACAAACAGTAATTCATTTATTACACTCCACTACATTCCAGTAACAGCGTTGAGCATCGTAATGAAGTGAGCTGGAATCGAGCCAAGGGCTTTTTYCCCCCCACAATCATATCCAGCTACAAGGGACAACTGTTACACACACTTACCAAGCAACACTGCTTGCAAAGATCGGTTCTAAGGTGCTGAAGACTGGATTGTCTGCTGAAATACATCAAAGGCACATTTGCTGGAGATTGTAAAACATCCAGTCTCATCAGCGGAGATGTCTGAGGATGTTCACTTGTCAAACGCTAAGCTGCGGGATGTCGTCCGTCATTCAAGATTAACGTTACAATCCATTATTTAGGCAGCTGATGAGAAAATTCAAGACTCTCCAGTCAGCGGTGACCTTATTCTCAAGTCTGCTGCTGCTTTCTTTTGGGTGTGAGCAGGAAAAACCTCTTCATGCTCTTATGCCTCAATGGAAATCAACTGTTGAAAAAAAAATGAAAAAAACTTTTTCTGCTTCTTGTTTACACTTGACCAGTAAAGGTGACAAACACAGATTGGATGAGTAAAGTGTTCAAGTATCAGGGTTGCTTAGAGGAGAAAACAGCTGAGGAGTGTCAGTCTATTTTTGTTTCGTGCTCTAAAAAGTCCCTCAGAGGTGTAATCAGGATGAGATGTCAGCGAATGTCAGAATACAGGAAACAGCAGGCACTTCCTTATTTAGCTGCACCCAAAATTAGACAAGCAAGTGGCAATTTTGTACTAAAGTTCAACAATAGGTAATATGGAAAAAGTCTCCATTATTTGAATAGTTTTAATGACCTCACGAGGCAGACAGAAACCTAATTTTCTTTAACCAGTGCAGAGTTTTGCATTATTACATACAGACTGCTCTGTTTTACTGCAGCCGTGCAACATATGGAACATATTTACAGCTTCATCCTGTCATGTCGCTGAATCACAGCAATTATAGGATGAAATCACTATGTTTGTTGGCTCATTAGTCACACAGAATCTCTAAAAACAAACTTTTTAAAAGTTTGGAAAATATTCAAATAGTTACTCTTTATGAAAGGTGAGTTCTGTGCTAATTAAACAAAGGGTTATTTATTCAGAAAAGCAAAAACGTGTTTTCCCTATAAAAATTATAATGTGGGTTATTATAAATAAACATGCTCTGAGATACATTTGACTGAAAAAATGCAGCTGTTTGATAAATGGATGATAGATTAATCTGAAGAGAACTTTCACAAAGTAATTATTGGATGAATATTCACTCTAACAAACTTCGTGAGATGTTTTTTTTTTAATAATGATAATAATAATACATTTTATTTATAAAGCACCTTTTAGGACACTCAAGGACACTGTACAATAGCAACAAACAAATGTACATTTAACAATAGAGTTGTGTGGGAGAAACATAGAAATGAAGAGTTTACAAAACAGACATATATTAAAGTACAGTGACCAACCAATAAGAGTTAACAGTGATAAGCTAATCTGAAAAGATGTGTCTTCAGGCCAGTCTAGAGGTTACGTAAATGGCTATTAATCGCTCGTTAACATTGAGTTATGTTTGTTAGAAAGAATATCATAAACTGCTGGTTAGGTTTTAATGAAATTTTCAGAAAAACAACAATTTTTTTTTGATTTGCTGATTTTATTTTATTTGATGGTGCTTGTTTGCCAAGGAAAACAAAAAAGTAGAAAACAATTGTCTGAACAAATGTTCGAGTTAAGAAAGATACTGCAGCATGCCACTTTGAAAACCAGGGGTTCTGACTGGTCACTGAGTGTGTGTATATATGTCTGTGTGTATACTGTATATCTAAAGTATGTATGAATGTACGCATGTATGTATGTATATATTTATGCATGTATGGTATGTATATATGATATATATTTATGTATGCCATCCATGTATTTATCCATTTATTTTTAGGTGAGCAGACAGATGTTGTGTGTGCGGTCCTGCATTTTCTTGGTGTATATTTAATAAACTTCTAATCTCTATTTCAATTTTTCTAATTACTTTTTTCTTTGTTTTTCCCTCTTTTTCTATTTTCTCTTTACTTAAAAAAATCACTGATGATGAAGAGATTAAGAAACTAATATTAAGTTCTTTTTTTCTACTGAAGTGATAAAAAAGAAAAAAAATAGAAAACGCTAAAGTGTCTAAAAAATCAGCCAATTTTACAGATATTCAGGGGGAAAATGCTGTGATAGCTGAGCATCATCCCASACATTGATGACTTTATTTTGTGCATTACTTTTGCTTATTATTTGGCAATAACTTTATGCTAAAAAAAACAAGCAAATAAATAAAGAAGTGAGCAAAACTTGATAATACAGTAAGATTTGTACTTTGTCCTGGAGGGAAGTCACACAGTAGCCAAGACCAAAGTCTTCTTCTCTGTGGTCCACATGCTGCCTTTTATCTCCAGACTTCCTCCCATTTTTTGGACAGACCCCTCTGCCTGAGCGTCACTCTTTTCACTTAACAGCGCAGACCCCCACACTTCTCAAACTCAAACACACATTCCCGCACACACACGCACGCACGCACGCACGCAGACACGCGCGTAAACAGCGCCAGATGCTCTCTGCAAACAGTCCTCCTGCCGCGTCCAGCGCGTCTTTTCTTCTCCACTGACRCACAAGAAGAAAAAAAAAAGTCATTTTTGGATGCCCAGCTACGGATTTTTAATTTTATTTTATTTTTGTAAAGTTTTGTTTTATGAAGTTCTCCAAAGTGCTTGTTTTTAGGATTTACCTCGCGCTCTTGAGTTTCAGTCTGGTGACAGATGGGTGAGTGAAGTGCTTCAGTTGCGCACCGAACCGACACCGGCTGGATCCGAACACTCGTGTGATGCGCAAAATGAACAATTTAGCCAAATAATTTCTGTCTCCGGACCGAAGATTTCAAGGTATGATTTAATGATTGTAGGTTATTCATTCTGTAGTTTTGAACAAACAGGAGTAAGTTTTGTCTGAGGACTGAATGATTTATGGTTGAATGAGAAACTGAAAAGTTTCTGTGAGGTCTTGAGTTTTAAATCACTCTTGGTTTACTTCTTGCTCTCCTGAGCTTCTTTTAATTAACTCTTATTACTATAATTGTCACTGAAATGACTCCATTCATACTCAGAGTTGTTCATTTGAGACATATTATTTTAGCTGTAAATCTCATGGTGGGAAAAAGACAGCTATTTAGTCCTTTTAAGCTGTATAGATGGACTTCTTCTGACTGCCTGTGTGTTTTTTGCTGTGTGGAAAAGATTTATTTATTTATTTATTTATTTATTTATTTATTTATTTATTTATTTATTTATTTATTTATTTATTTATTACTGCAGTTCATTACCTCTTTGCATTAATCTTGACTTTCTTTTCCGTGTTGACAGTGACTAATCTCCCTGTAGAGATTTTCTTTCCTCCCTGTGGGTGAAGATGTGTCGGGCTGTGTTTGCTGCAGCAGCACTGCTGCCTCTCCTGGCGCTCACACTTCAGGTGTCTGGGGCCCAGTCCTGTCCCAGGAGCTGTAACTGCTACCAGGCCAATGAAGTCCACTGTACCTTCCGTTCACTCATCACTATCCCCGCGGGCCTGCCTGCGCACACACGCCGCATAAACTTAGGGTATGTGGATGTGACGTGCGAACAAATATTTTAGTGTCAAGATAAATCATTCTCACTTAGCTTGCTCTCCTACAGAACCAAAAATATAAGTCAGAACCAGAGTTAAGGCAAAGATCCAAGGTATTTCTTGAATGAATTTTGGTCAAAACTGAAATAATAATGTTATCTCATATGATGCTGCAAGATGTGACAGATAGAGTATGTGTTGTGAATGACTGCCACACAAAACTTTAGATTAATTTCTGTAAAATTAGATAAATTGTAGCCATTTTTATGATTTTTTTGGAGGCTGTGTTTATCTTGGATCGGGCTAACTCAAACAGCTAAAAAGACAACCACTGACATCTTTTTCCACTTTCTCTTTTCTTTGGTGAGCGATAAACAGAACCTTATGTGAAATTGCCTGTTAATGATCTCTGCAGGTTCAACAGCATCAAACTACTCCATGACAAATCACTGGCYGGACTAAAGAGGGCGGAGCTCCTGATGCTCCACAGCAACGATCTCCATCACCTTCCAGATGCAGCGTTCAGAGATATGACAGCACTTCAGGTAACAGGCAAAGACAGCATTTTAACCTTTGGCCCTCCACACRTATCTGGGTCACTGAAGAGTCAGACAATTTGAAACCATTCAAGCGGATGGTCTCTGGGGAMAAGACAGGCAACATTTTGGGACACTAGGAGGTAATTTCACAGGAGTTACAGTTAAACTCCCTTTCCAGCAGCTGACAGGGATCTGTTAAGTGAACCATAATGTGATTTGACCAACTGAGTTAATCA